ATTCCCAATAACTTTTCGTGATTTCGGTCTTTCGACCACTTCCCATGTTTTATTCTTTAGTTGTGCCACCATTTCGTCTTCTAGCGCTTTTGACCAGGAATTTGTTTCATCGCTTTCAAGTGCCTCCAAAATCGTTACTGGAGTTTGATATGTAGTGAGAAACGCCATTTCACAATCTTCAAAAACGTTGTTGTCAGGTTCATCATCTGAATGGTTTTTATCAGCAATTTTTCTTATTGAACTTGTATTTTCGTCTTCGTTGGATGATTCTTCACCATTCCGATTTGACGTGTAATATTCTTTTCGAGGCCTACCGCGTGAATTTGTGCGAATAAGTCTCGGACGACCTCTTCTACGAATGGAGTTTTCTTCTCGCGTATCTGTATTTTCTACAATTTTCGGATTGACCGACAGTTTCTGATTTTCACAATTTTCGAACGCAATATCGATATAATCATTTGTTTGGCAGTCGTTTTCATTGTTAATATAAATGTTTTCGTATTTATTATGATAGATATTTTTGTTTACGAACACGACATCACGGCTTATTGTTATATTTCGTTTTGTAGGTGACCACTTATTCCGAATATAGCACGCTGTATTTATGGCCTCTGCCCAAAAATTTGGCGGAACTTCAGCTTGTTTCATCATGCAACGGGCCATTTCAACTAGAGTTCTGTTTTTACGTTCAGCAATACCATTTTGCTCCGGCGTATATGGAGCAGTTAAGCGTCTTTGTATACCAAATTTCCTCAAGAATAAATTAAATTCAGAATTAACGTATTCTCTACCATTGTCTGATTGTAAAGCCTTAATTCGTTTACCCGTTAATGTTTCTACTGCTCTTTTGTATTGCTTAAATACATTTAATACATCGGATTTTTGTTTTATAAAATATACATGACAATAGCGTGATTTGTCATCAATAAATGTTACGAAATATTTTGCATCCGAATTTGATGCTGTTCTCATTGGTCCGCACACATCACTATGCACGATCTCTAATAAGTCACTTGTTCTAGTTTCTTTACTCTTAGGAAATGGTTTTTGTATTTGTTTTTCACTAATACAAATTTCGCAAGTCGGAAGTTTTTGTTTAGGATTTAATTTTAATCCGTGTACTAGGTTATTACTAGCCAATTTTTTAAGATCGTTTTCATTTATGTGGCCCATTTTCTGGTGCCACTTTTCAATGTCACATTTTTCTTCAGCAACTTGTGCAAAATGATTTTTATTTTCAACAATAAAAAGATTTCCACATCTTTTCGCTCGAGTTATAACCTTCTGATATTTGTCCAATACGATTGCATCTGAAGGGCGAAAATGCACCTCATATCCGCTGTCTACTATTTTTGATACAGAAAGTAGACTTGTACGCAAGTCCTCGACATATAGAACTTCTTTAAGATCAATGTTATTATCACGACCGTATACGTCTACAGTTATTTTCATTTTACCGACGCCGTTTATACTTGTGTTGTCGTTTGCTAAGTTAAGCACTTTATTCGATTTTTGAAAGTCTGTAAAATATTCACGGTTTGCACTTAAATGGGCAGTACATCCACTATCTAGGCACCAATAATTTTCTTTTATTGAGCTAATAAATGCATCTTCAGCATGATAGCTAAAATTATTGTTTACAGATTTTTCCGAATTTTTCAATTGCGTGTTATTTTCAGCTTTTGCTTTATTTTTACATTCACGTGCAAAATGTCCGATTTTGCCACAATTAAAACATTGTTTGTTTCGTTTAGAATCACTGTATCGTTTGTTTTGTTTTGCGTTTCGGCTTTTATTTCGATTTATGTATAGAGAGTTTTCATCACTATGTCTGTCTTCTTTTGTCCTTTGCGATTCAGCTTCTTCTAATATTTTCACTCGAAGTATGTCTGGCTTTGGCAGCTCGTCGCGCGTTTCTAACGCGCACCTGAAAGTATTAAAAGAATCGGGTAGGCTATATAGGAGCAGTATGGCCAGAAGCTCATCCCCGATGGTGACGTCGATTTCCTTTAATTTCACCACGGCTTCAAAAAAATCGTTGAGGTGCTCTCTAACCTTTTCACCCTCCTTCATGCGCGAAAGTGCAACCTTTTTCAGCAACGTCGCCTTGCGCGCAGGCCCTTTTGATGAATATGTGGCTTGTAGTTTCATCCACATTTCGTTTGAATTTGTGCATTCTGCAATTAATCTTAATTCTGATGCACTTACTGATAACATTATATCAGCACACGCTTTCTGATCAAAGCTGATCCATTTTGCAGCCGCTTCGCCCGTTGGACACGACGCAGTACCTTCGACATATGACCATAAATCGTTTTTTATGAGAATAGCTTTCATTTGTAATTTCCATGTATCGTAGTTTTCCGCGTTAAGCGGTTCAACTCGAATCACCGTTCCCGACATTTTTATACACGTATTAAATCTACTTTTTATGTGCACGTGCTTTTTACTTCGCAGTGGAAGCGTGCTGGGCCCATAACCTATTATATATTTTTAGCAAAAGTGAAACACGGTCCGATGTATTTTTAACATGTTCTTTACTTCGCTTTATTAACTATACTAAAAATGAATAATGAATAATAATTACAAAAGGAATATAGAATAATGACAGGCCAGAGTTGCCAGGCAATTAATATTTAAAAAGTACTTTACATAACAACAGGTACATCTCCTATTCGAAGGATTGAAATATGATTTATATAAATAAATGTATTGTTTGTTTAACACCTTGGGCAAATAACGTTCGAAACGATCTCTACGCAGATTAAAATGCATATGTGCAATGCGTACATTGTTTGATGTTTTTTAAATTTATATTCATCATTTAATATATTTTTAATTATTTTTTTTGCGTCAATTAAATTGTTTGTATAACATTTGGAGTACATAAAAGTGCAAAATTGCATTTTTGTGTATTTGTGAAATGCACATTAAAGAAACATTTGATAGAGATGCATTTGATATTTTATCACAAATAAAAAAACATTTCATATCTCTAAGTATATGCAAACACAATATATTTTATTAAAAGCATTGTCCTGTTAACTTAAAATTTTAATTTTATATTGCCCTTAAAAATAAACAATTTAATTTTGTCAAAGAACAGAAACCATGTGGCAACGTAAACAATTATTTTATGGAATTTAAGCAGAGACGGTTGGCAACACCAACCCAACCGTATGACAGTTCAATTATTTGACATATTCGTGCGAAAGACCGCCAAATGCTATTATTGTTATTAACCATTAGTCTTAACATTAGTGCAAATAGATTTATAAAATAAATATTTAAATAAAATGGTTGAAGAAAGTGCAGAAAAAATTGTCCGTATGCCATGGTAAATAAAAAATAATAATTTAATCTCTATATATAGATATATTAAAGAACTTCATATTTACAGGGTAGAAAAATATCGACCGGCAAAATTGGACGATTTGATTTCACATGAAGAAATTATTTCTACAAGTAAAGAAATAAAGTTTAACCAATTAATATGAGATATAGTATATTTAAACATTTGTTGTTCTTACAACAGTTAATAGATTCATCAATCAAAAACAGCTGCCCCACCTGTTGTTTTATGGACCACCAGGCACAGGAAAGACAAGTACAATATTAGCGTGTGCGAAGCAACTTTACACTCCAGCTCAGTTTAAATCCATGGTACTTGAATTAAATGCATCTGATGATCGTGGCATTAATATAGTGCGTGGTCAAATACTTAATTTTGCTTCTACGCGAACGATTTTCAGTGGTACATTTAAATTGATTATATTGGACGAAGCCGATGCCATGACCAATGATGCACAGAATGCCTTGCGTCGTATCATTGAAAAGTACACAGAAAATGTACGATTTTGTGTTATTTGCAATTATCTGAGCAAAATTATTCCTGCCGTGCAGTCGCGTTGTACGCGTTTTCGTTTTGCACCATTGTCCCCAGAGCAGATATTACCTCGATTGGATAAAATTGTTGAAATGGAAAAGTAAGTAAACATATTTTTTTTAATTATGTAATTTAAACTTTTTTATTATAGGCTAAATGTCACTGAAGATGGTAAAAAAGCGCTAATGACTCTGTCAAAAGGTGATATGCGTAAAGTGCTTAACGTACTGCAAAGTACATCAATGGCATTTGATATCGTCAATGAGGATAACGTTTACACTTGCGTTGGTCATCCTTTGCGCAAAGACATTGAACATATTTTGCAAACTTTAATGTCAACAGAGAATTTTGAAACTGCTTATAATGGTAGGCATAAATTACACATGTTTAATAATAATTGGCGAACCATTCAAATTATTTTTTTATTACTTTTAGAAATACAAGGTATCAAATCAGTAAAAGGCTTGGCTTTGGAAGATATACTAACTGAACTACATCAATTTATTATGCGAAGTAAGTGTGGAAGTATAACATATATTTGTTTTATATTGATATACACTTGACTCTGATCTGGTTCGTAGCCAGAAATTTACTTCGGGCTGTGACCCCGGCTACATGCCTGACTTTGACCATGTAGCAAAAGAAAATTGCTACTTGATTATATATACAAATTAGTAGTTGCAAATAGATTTTGACAAGCTTTGTTAACAGTTGTATTGCCATCTGTATTACAGAAGTTTCCTTAAATGCTCTGGAGCCAAACAATGTTAAACAAAGCTTGTTTACCTAGTAACTTAATTAAAATAATACATAACGCTAAGTACTTTACCTTGCAAGTATGTTAATTATATTTACTTTATATTTTAGTTGAAATTCCAATGAGCGTGATGAACAAATTAATTATTAAATTGGCTAGCATTGAAGAACGTCTCGCAAAAGGCTGCAGTGAAGGTCCTCAAACAACAGCATTAGTTTCAGCATTTTTTATTTGTCGCGAAATGGTTACAATGGAAAGTTAAGTGTATGGAAAAATTTATAGTATTAAGAAATTATCAAAACAAACGATTAAAACTATTAAAAATTTAAATATATTAAAATTCATACAAAAAAAAACTGTATTTATAATTTTGATTTCGTTTCTTTTTCATATTTGTAAATTGTTTGATGTGCGAAATCAAAGTGCGGTTCAAGTTCTTTGCGCACTGTTTCAATCCATTTCGCTACCTTTGGGAATTTCTCGCCTACATCGTAAGCTGTCGTGCCTAAAAAATAACACCAAACAATATTAATTTATTATTAAAAAGTTTAATTAATTTAGTTAATTACGTATTTGTTCTACTTCACAAGCACCGAAAACATCTGCAGCTGTTAACTCATTGCCATTTATAAATTTTGTATCTTTCAACCAGACTGTCTCAATCACACCTAAATCTCGTTCCATTTCAGACTTGTATTTTGCAACTTTACCTGGTGCCGCAGGAGCACCGAAAAACTTATCTTGTACCCAAAGAAAACGAAAATATAATGAGCAAGAAGTACGTATGCCATTGTGCTGCCACTGAAGAAATTCGTCCACACGTGCTCGTTTTTGCACATCCTTGGGATAAAAATGTTCAGCTATGTAATTTTTATTTGAAAAATATCTGCAAGAATTTTAAAAGAGAAATTTGAAAATATATAAAATTTCATCAGACATATCATAATTAATCATTGATGAATTCATTTCAAAAACGAAATTTACCAATAAGTACTGGATCGTCCCAGTTGAAAGAGATCTCTGTGAGTTTTTCTATTTGCATCTATGAATTCAGGGTCCGCATAATAAAACCTAAAATTCTAAGTGGCGTTCAAAGCAGGCTAACATACTCTGTGATCATAGCTGAATCAGCATAAACAGTACATAAGCTTCAGTGCACTTGGAAGTGTGTAAGCAAGAAGCGTTACTTAGTGTGTAGGACAAATTCCTAAACAAAGACTGTTATATTCCGCTTTGTATACAAAGTAAGACAAAAATTAATTTGAAAAATGTGTGGAATAAATCCACATAACATGTCCCTAACTACAGTTATACATCTCATAACGGCGCCCATCTCTTTTTATGTCTTAGCACATACCAACATGCGCCTATTTTAACTTATAGACCCATTTAATCAAATCTGCAAGTTTAATTTTTCGCTGCAGCCACACTCCACCTTCTACTAAACCCTTCCTACATTCATCCTATATATTCATCATGTTGTGTTCATATTTTCTGCTGTGTAAATCTCTTCGGATAAACACTTTTCTGATCCTGTTGTCTAAATATTTTTTCTAATCTTTGTAATGTTAAAATAAATTTATACCATCACCAGTTCCGACTTACCTTAAAATAGCTATGCTCTCTGCCAATTTGAAATTTCCCTCAACAATCGCGGGCACCTTCTGAAAGCGATTAACTTCATTTTTAAACTCGATGGTTTGATTTCCACCTACAAACGATAGATGTATCTATATTTAGTTATATATATAAAAATTATTTTAATTAGAATATGACTTTAATCGCACCTTCCAATAAATTAATTTGATTCTCTTCAAATGGAGTGCCGCTTTGTTTTAATATGATGTAAAGAGCTCGGGATGGTTGTGATAGAAAATCAAAATAATATTTAAATTGAGCTTTAGACTCTGGCATGTTGTAAACTAATCAAAAATGAAGACTAAAATATAACGATTGCTAAAAAACCACTTCATGCCTTATATCATGAATCCAACAGCTGATTTACTTTCAGGAGATTAGATTTGACAAAATACAAAATCTCTACCGGCTTGATTTCTCCCCCATAAGTTCTCTACATACACTCTTAAAAAATAACAACCGAACAATGGATTTTTTTAATATGTTTAAGAGTCTAAAGAGTAAATTGAATCGTGTTATTATAGAGTAACAAAAGAGATGTCTATTTCTCTCTTACAGATATAACAATCCATTTGAGTCTGCTTATCAAAGACAATAAAATATATCTATTATTTAGTAGATATGAACTTCATTTTCTCTAAATGACATCGTAAAGGTTTTATATAGTGAATTATAGATTTAAACGGTTATAAACCGATATGCAGTTTATACTAAGTAGCATATCGTTCTTGATAACAGTCGCAGATATCGACTTCGCATAGTGCTTAATGTTTAAAAATACAATTTGCAATTGCAATTATTTTCATTTTTGTGTAATGTTTAACAAATGGAAAAATTCATCTGCAATCTCTTCGGTATAAAATGTGGATCAGGTGAAATTATGTTTAATTAAACAAAAATTAGTAATAGTAACAGTGTACAAACAATATATTTGGTAATCTGAATGATATCAGATCGTTGTCTTTCATTTTCCTTAATAATTAATCTTTACGTTTATCTTAATTAACATAGTAAATTGTTATCATTGCAGAATATCTAACGAAGTGCCTCCTTTAAATATATAAAATAAAAAATTTTAAATAAAAATACTACTTCTATTCTATGTGATTTTAATTTTCGAATCTCTCTTCAAATACCTTTAGATATCTCATTATTGATATAAATACAAACAACATATTGGTATCTGGTAAATAATGAACTATTTTACATACTATATATGCATTCTTGATATATAATCAGTTGTACTTCAATGACATGGCGGTGTTTTGTTAGTGTGATAGTGCCAAAAGAATATCACTCCTAAGGAATTTACTCTTAATTTGTTTAAAAACATACATACATTAATGACTACTGTCGTAGTGCTAAAACTGCTATCCTAACCAGTATTCGTCACTAACCATAAGGCTTCTATGCAACATAGGTCCCTACTTCCTAAAGTGTCTATCTGATACCCTGAATATGTACAACAAAGACTTATCACAGTAGTATTAGAACTGGTGCACTTAGAGATCGACAGCTATGAGATGAACTTCCCCTGAAATAGAGAGATGTTTCTGTGAAGAATTTTCACAAAAATTTTATATACGGAGGTTGGCTTTTAAGATTTCCCAGATGAATGTTTTAGTTCACGCATACTTATTGTGTTGTTTAAATCGATTCTAAATTATATCTCTGCGAAAAATTAAATCCATTTTTAATAATGAATATAGTGTAATGATTTTTAACGATTTTCGACGCGGGTTAACCAGAATATAATGCATTGATCAACTTACTCCTACATTTGACAATGAAACACCACATCCAACGAGTGTATGAGTTTCGGACTCAATGGTTCAATGAATCCGTGTGTAATCGTTTTATCCACGACAAATTTCGTGAAGGTCGACCAAGAACGGCTGTTGTACCAGAAAACATCGATGCAGTGTGAGAAATAATAAAGATGGATCAGCATGTCACATGCAAGGTGTCCTTGCAAATTAATGGTATTAGCATACATTTAATTTTACATAGGTATTAAGCTTTCAGAATGATTTGTTCCCGTTATAATTTGACAATCTCTAAAAGAAGCTAAAAGTGTTGATTGGTGCAAGGAAATGCTGAAAAAACACGTCTACAACATTGTGATAAATGACAAATCATGGATACACGTGTATGAGCTCGAAACA